CCACAACACGCGCCTCAGATCCTCTCAAAAATTATAGACGGCGTAGGGAAAATAACTGCCCATTAGATAGCATATAAAAAAATAGGCGCTGGCTATTATTTGTTGTGAGTAAATTGGCTTCAAAGTGTGCCCCTTTTATTTACGTGTGCGGATTTTTTTTTTGGAGGTTGGTGCCAGCTCATCGCGAGTCCCAGGTATCCATTGCGAGGCCTCTCGCTTGGTCGCTTGTTGGTCGCTCGCGGAGCCGGGACCCTCCATCCCCGGCCCAGGCCTTAAGCCACCATTCTGTCCGAGATATTAATAGGTCGGCCTTCGTGTTTGATCGCGTTTATTCCTTTTGGGTCATGCCGATCTTGCCGAATGACTGTCTGCCCCTGTCATCCCGTCCCGGCATGCACAGAGACTTGGTTTGAAGGATCCCGTCCTTTGTCACATTTGTAAGAGGCCGGCCCATCTGCTAATCGATACGAGGCGCACGCGAGACACGCGCTCCTGTCAGCAAACGCACTGAACTTCCACCCACTTGACTTTCTCATGGTTTTTCATCACCCCGGTTTTGCCAGTCCTGGCAATGCGCGCCAAGCATGCCACTGTTTTCTCGCCGGTTCAGCTGTGGCGCCGGATTGGACAGGAATGGGGTGGTCCTGGACCGAGAACCAAGAGCGCTGCAGCAGCCCAGTGGCAGCAGAATCGACGCTGAAAGGGTCTGGGTTTTTTGCATGCGACAGCAGACGTAGACGCGCCCGAATCAAGTGCAATGCCTCGTTAACCCTAGAGCTCCCACAGCACCACAGCAGGTGGGCTGACCAGGGTCGCTGGCGCGCATGCCGAGACCGAGACCCGGTTGTCAAGTGACACCGTGCAAAACCGCCGTCGGCCTGGTAGATCTGCGTTCGATCCAACTTTGCCTCATTGATCCGCAACCATTGCGCATGGATTCCGTATTCTCGAATATTGTCCCCGCAATCGATATTCTCGTCCTGAATCTATCAAACGTCACATGTCTGCCAACGGCCCCGATATAGCTGTCCCGATGTAGCTGTCCTGGGATCTCATATCGTTCGTTGTGTCCACACACACGAGCACCTCGCCCAACGAAGAGAGATGGCGTCTCGACTACTCCATCCTCCCTCGTGTCTGGTGGTCCTGGAGGACTTGCCCTAGCAGCGAACCCGACTCACGACACGTATGGGGCAGTGGGGGCTCCAGACCTGCGCTTGGCAACCTCGGCCATGGCTCTTTCCACGGCGGCTGCGCGGACGGACTTAGCGCGGCTCTGTAGATCCGCTGGCACCGATGCATCATACGCATCCAGGTCCGGGAGTGTGTGATTCCGCAAACGATGGTCCGAGTAGCCAGCGATGCCGACCTGTTTGCGAACAAGGTTTGGAAGGGAGGCGGGATCGTCGAAAAAATCCAAGAATAAAGAGTGTGTGTAACCACCTACCGTTAACGCTGGTACATACGCCGGTGGTAGCGCATTGTTGAACTTTCCACTGCCTGGGTCAGCAGGGATCGTCAATGGCGCAGATGGAGTTGTCGCCGCTGGACCTGATGGGGTTGATCCCAGCGATGCTGCCCGGGGTACAAGCGAGGGTGTCCGGGGGATTAGAACGTGAGGGATCTCTGAAAGTGACCACATGAGAGAGAAGGAGTGATAGTTGTCGTATGCGAACAGGTCTGCGGTCTTCAGCATCAGTCCCAACAGGCAGGCTCACATTAGTGAACGTTGTACTGGCTATAAACTCGCTGACTTACCGACCCACTGTGCGTCGAGTCCGTTTGCCTGCCAGGCGCCAAGGATCTTGGAAGCATCCACAAAGCCTGGGTAACGAGACGTTAGCTGATAAGGATGCATTCGATATGAGAATGCCCCATTTTCAGAGATAATCATGGATTCCGGCAGTAGCGGGAGAACGGTACCTTGCTGGCTTCCTTGGGCGTTCAGAGAATCGAACATTAACGCAGCAACGGCGCGGAACTCGGGAGTTGGTTGCTGTGACGCAGGGTCCACAAGATACCACGTCTGGCTCGCCGCCCGCGGTAGTGTTGTCACAGGGGCAGGTGGAGTCGTAGGCGCGGGCATAGGTGCATATGGAGAGTAGGGAGGTGGAGTGCTTGCTGCGGCGGAAGCACCGAGGCTCAGTGCACTCATGGAAGGCATTAGGGGGTCCGCGGCCGGTGTAGATGCCGGAGGCGGGGACACGGCGGGTGCCGAAGCGGTAGGCTGAGTGGGTGGGTACGGAGAGGGAGCTTGGTTATAGGGGATGGGCTGCTGCTGATGCGGTGGTGCTGACTGGACTGGCTGGCTGTACGAACCAGGCTGCTGCTGCTGATGGGGCGGCGGCGACTGTACCGGCTGGTTGTGCGGGCCGGGCTGTTGCTGCTGCTGATACGGCGGCGGCGACTGCTGCTGTTGCTGTTGCTGTTGCTGATGCGGCGACGGCGACTGCTGTTGCTGCTGATGCGGCGGCGGCTGCGTCTGCTGCATGGGGATCTGGCCTGGTTGTTGTTGATGCTGCTGTGGATGCCCGTAAGCTGGCTGACCATAGCCCCCTGGCTGGCCGTACATGCCAGGGGCTGGTGGTTGTTGATAGGCACTTGCATGGCCCGTTATGCGGTTGAATTTGCCCGTCAGTTTGCTGCCGAAGGTCTGTATGTAAGGCATTCCGCTCACGAACGCCTGGTTAACTTGTCCCATCAGGCCTCCCTGCTGCGGCACGGCGCCTGGATATCCCTGTGCCACATATCCCTGGGGTGGAGGGCCATTCGCCGGGCCGCCGACCCCGGGAGCGAATCCAGCAGAGTGGGGAGCCCCACCGGGCCCGGGAGGAGTGGCGGCCGGAGCTCCGGTCGGTGGCTGTCCCGGAGAACCTGCGGGGGGCTGGCCGTATGGAGTCTGAGCCCCCAGAGGCGAGGGGGTATGCCCCAGTGCGGGAGGTTGGTGTTGGTACGGCTGCCCATAGGCGTGCGGTGCAGGCTGCGGCTGCGGCTGCTGGTTATAAGGCTGGTACGGCGACGGCTGCTGCTGAGGGGGCTGTTGCCACTGGCCCTGCCCCTGAGGCGGCGGCTGCTGATAAGGAGCAGGCGGGGTCCCGGCAGACCAGCCTCCCGCTGGCGGTGGCCCAGAGCCAGACACGGGAGGGGCTTGGGGATGGGACATTCTGCTCCGTTTCTTGGCACTGACCTCGAGTCGGAGGTGCTGAAGCGGGAGATGGGAAAAGCGGGGGAGATCGGGCGAAGTTGCGTCCAAGTCTGGCAGTCATCCGTGCCAGGAAGCTCCCTTCAGCTTCGAGCCCCACCAGAAATTGCGGGGTGCCGCTCTTCATCCGGTTCCACAGGCAGGCAGGGACTGTGCGCCCACAACTACGTAAGCGGGGAGCTCCAGGTAAACGGCCAACGGGAAGCGGCTCGCTCAGATTTATCAGCTCTTCCCTCCCAACATCCTGCCGTCCTTTTCCATCTCCACAGCTCCCACTGGCATCACGACCTCTCTTAGGCAAGCTCAACTCCTGGGAACATAGCCGGCCACTCAAAATGACGTGCTCCCACTTGGAGACCCTCAGTATGTACCCCGCCAAGCTCTTCAGTCCTGTTAGCCTCGACCTTGTGCGCTGCGACTTCAAACGGCGATACTAACCTTTTGACCGATAGGCTTGCGAGCACCAACACCCACCCAATCAGTCTACAGAGAGGACTGCACCCAGTGCTTCGACTCCATCGTGCGTTGATTCCCTTCCCGCTCCCTGCGACTCTGCGTTGATACACAGAGTCCTTGAGACGTTTGGAGCTAACGGACGCAGGATGACCCCGAGGGACTCGATGTCTGCCTTCAGTGCTTTAACGGGGGCTGCACTGGCGAGCGGCACCACGCGAAGCTGCACAATGTCGTCTGGGGCCATCCCATCGTTCTCAACGTTCGCCGCACCCGCAAATTCGTCGACCGCGATGAGCCCCCTCCCAAGATGTCTAAGCTCGCCATCGCCGCCGAGACCGAGACCGACCGCTACACCACGACACTAGTAGTGAAGTGTCTCGAGTGCAATGTTGAGCTCGACAAGAATCACGAGAAGCTGGCCAAGGCAGTCGAAGGCGTCATGAACGCAAACACCTTTTCGCGGAAAGAGGAGGTCAAGGCCTGGGAGCAGGAGCTGACGAGCTGCGAGCATATCCTCCTACTCCAGCAGGAGGACGCTAGGAAGATCGCCTCGGGTGACCTGGGCGCCTGCTCTAAATGCGACCTCAAGGAGAACCTCTGGATCTGCCTGCAGTGTGGCAACCTCGGATGCGGCCGTGCCCAGTTCGGCGGCGTCGGTGGCAACTCCCACGCTCTAGCGCACGCAAACGAGTCCGGCCATGGAGTAGCTGTGAAACTCGGCTCCATTACCCCCGAGGGCACTGCCGACGTCTACTGTTACACCTGCGATGATGAGCGCATCGACGAGAACCTAGGCGCGCACCTAGCTAACTACGGCATCATACTGGCTGAGCGGGAGAAGACCGAAAAGAGCTTGACCGAGATGCAGATCGAGCAGAACTTGAAGTGGGAGTTCTCCATGACCACTGAGGATGGAAAGGAGCTCAACCCAATCTTTGGGGCTGGCCTGACTGGTCTCAAAAACCTGGGCAACAGCTGCTACCTGGCCAGTATCCTTCAGTGCCTCTTCCAGATGGAGTCTTTCCAGAAGAGGTACGGCCAGGTCACGCAAGACCTAGTTGGAGTCCAGGACCCCGCTCAGGATCTCGAGACTCAGCTGCGCAAGATTGGCGATGGCTTGCTGTCTGGCCGCTACTCCAAGCCAGACACGGATGTCGTGGTGTCAGAACACTCCACCGAGATCCCCCATCAAAAAGGCCTTCAGCCGTCGATGCTAAAGCACTTGATCGGCCGCGGACATGAGGAGTTTTCGACGATGCGACAGCAGGACGCCTTCGAGCTGCTCCAGCACCTCATCAAAATGATCACACGTTCCAAGCACCCCTCACCCGCGGACGACCCAACCCTCCCATTCCGTTTCATCCTGGAGCAGCGACTCCAATGCCTTTCATGCAAGAAGGTCCGGTACACAACCAACGAGCAAGACAGTATCTTCATCGATGTACCACTTGAGAAGCTCCCCGAGACCGATGGAGGGGACAAGGACTCCAACACGGGTGGCTCTTACAAGCCCGTCACGCTTACCGAGTGCCTTGATCGACTCACTGGGGAGGAGACCGTTGAGCTCACCTGCTCCGCCTGTGGCAGCAAGGACGGCTACGTCAAGAGGTCTCTCTTCAAGACGCTTCCCAAGGTGCTGGTGGTGAATGCTCGAAAGATGACCGTCATCAACTGGGTTCCAGTCAAAGTTGACGTTCCCGTAATTGTGAACGACGACCCATACTTGCTGGATCAGTACCTATCCAAGGGCCAGCAGGCCGATGAAGAATCGCTCCCTGAGGATGCTGGCCCTTCAGCAAGCGGATCCGCACCCGCTTTTGTGCCCAACGCTGAGGCGCTCGCGCAGCTCGAAGCCATGGGCTTCCCGCGGAATAGGTGCGAGAAGGGGCTTCACGCCACGGGCAACGGCGACGCGAATGCCGCCATGGAGTGGCTTTTCCAGCACATGGAAGACCCAAACATCGACGAGCCCCTCTTCATTCCATCGGGAGGCGGTGGTAGTGCTGGCGGCGGGGCCTTCGTCGCAGATCCATCGTCGATCGAGATGCTGGGCGCGATGGGTTTTGGCGAGAAGAAGGCTACCAAGGCGCTGAAGGAAACAGGTGGGGATCTCGAGCGTGCCGTTGAGTGGCTTTTTAGCCATCCAGAGGACGACGGAACGATGGAGGCTGAGGTCGAGAGCACTGGGCCCGAGCGACCGGCCGCGGGCAGCAGCGACACTCCGGCCAAGTTCCAGCTCCAAAGCATCGTTTGTCACAAGGGCACAAGTATCCATGCAGGGTAAGCGCACATCTGCTCTATCGATGATAAATGTCCGGCTTGTGTGTATGCCATGACTGCTGACATTTATCTTGCTACACCCAGTCACTATGTCGCCTTCATCCGCAAGCAGCTGGAGAATGAGGGCAGCCTGTCCTGGGTGCTCTTCAACGACGAGAAGGTCGTGCAGGTGGTGGATGTGGAGGAAATGAAGAAGTTTGCATACGTCTACTTCTTCAACCGCCTTGATGTTACTGCCTGAGAAAGTCGTCAAAGGGAGTGAATAGTCCTGATTCGACTCGCTCCCTGCCCGTCACAGGCAGTCAGGGTTATTTCGTGGGGTTGTATATGGCTGCGTTGCAGTTTGGAGTTCAAGGATTGCACAAGGATTGCAGGTTATCGTGAACTTTGGGAGTTGTGGAGAAGATAGACAGGTAACACGGTGGCCCATAGCCGGCGAGTAACCACGGCCACAGCGAAGGCCGATGTTGTATGCATACTACCATGCGCCACAGAATCCGGGAACGCCGAGGTAGCATATGAGCAATAACAAGTGATCGGCCTGGGCCTTTCTGTGAAGTGACCGAGTCGATCACTGCGGCAGAATGTGAGATGATGGCCGTGGCAGATGAACATACGTAGTATTCATTTCGCTCGAACTGCAGAATCCATGTCCAAGACAACATTATGGACACGGCAGATGCAGCTCATAAGTATTGCTTCGTTAAAAATCGCACACGCCATGCTGGCATGGGATCGAATCGCCTGGCAGCAATATCCAGGAGCTCGCCGGGCAGACTGTTTCGTCAAGCCTCACAAGGCAGCCTCCCCTCCCCTCCACTCCCACCCCCTAAGCCTACTCCCCCACCACATGCACCACCAAGCCTACTCGGTCAGCCTGTAGCTGACGAGGGTGTCGACGCGGTGGCTGGCGGTGCTGAAGCCGCGCAGCTGGACGCGCTCGCCGTTCTCGATCTCCTTGGCGTCGCTGTCGCCCCACTCGACGGGCACCTCCGAGTCGGCGTCGGCGTAGACGAGCACGTTGAAGGTGCAGTCGCCCGCCAGCTGCGGCAGGAACGTGACCGATGCCGTGATCTGGCGGAAGATGGCGGCGATCTCGGCCTGGATCTCGGCCTCGGTCTTTTCGGGGGCGGTAGCTGCGGCTGCTGCTGCTGCTGCTCCTGCTCCTGCGGCCTCGGCGTTTTCCTGGCCGCCGGCGCCTGCCACTGCTGCTGCTGCTGCTGCCGCTGTTTTTGATTTACTGCTGCTCTTGGACTTCCCGCCAAAGATCTGCACGTCAAACTGCCACCGCTCGACGTGCTCGCCCGTGTCCTTGTCCGTGATGACGATGACAAGCTTGGAGATCTTGCCCTTGACCATCCACCTGTCCAGCTGGCCCATTATCTTCTTGATGTACGCCTTGACCTGGTCGTCCGCCGAGACTGTTTTGTTGCCGGAGCGTTAGCGGTGGTACGCGCAAATCCCCGTTGTATCCTCCGCCATTACGGCGCTCAAACCTTCCATCGAGGTCTCGTTGTGGGGACTATCGGCTCGGGTATCGAGTGAAGGGGGTTGGAGGTCATCGTACCAAGCATGTTGAGGCCATACTTCTTGATTCTGCAGACGCGCGCCGAGTGTTAGCCTACAGCCCTGAAAATCGGTCGCCAACACGCGGGTGGCAGTGAGCGGAGGGGAGGTGTAGCTGACGCTGTAAAGTCTTCAGCAGGATAGACACCTCGCTGGAAGCTGTGTGCGCATTGCGACCGTTAGCTTTTGGGCTCGCTCGGCAGGGCGTCGGCTCAATGCTTCTCTGGATAGCTTGGTAGGCCGTACAGGATGGTATGGATAGAGTACTGGAACTACAAGGTTTGTGCCGACATCACATTTTTAGCACAACCGACCGCCTTTCGAGGTGAGGGTCGGCGAATGACATACAAACTCGGCCACCAGCTTCGCGCTACCCTTGAGCGACAGCTTGTGCACCTTGGAATCGTCCTTGTCCTTGTCCTCCTTGTCCTTCACCCTGGTCTTCTTCTTCTCTGTGGACGACATGGTCGCTGTGTGGGTTTTTGGGTTGCCGGTCGGGGGGCCCTTTGGCGGAGTTTCCGATGTCGTCAAGCGTCGTCAATTTTGTGACCGCCACCCGGATTTGTTTACTTTGTCGGGCGTTGGTTGCTACGTCGGCGGGGTGCAGCCTCCACACTGGCGACCGGAGGTAGGACTGGAGCAAGCCACATGGGTTCTCAAGTACTGGTGGCGCCAACGCTCTATCACATCTTTTCACTAATTGCAAGCGCGGGGGGCCCTTGACCTGTGCCAATCGCAAAGCCTTAACCGTCAACGGATCACCAAACCGCGCGTCCCATTATTCATGTATTGTTATCCTGAAAACGGCGGCTATTTGCATGGCCGCCCATGTCTAAATGGTATGACAATCTAAATCTAATGACACAGGGTTTGAAAAGGAGCAAACCGAAAATGCAAACGCTAGCTCCCACCTCCTTGAAAAACAGCAGCGGGGTATAAAGGAAAGTCATGAAAATAAAGCTGAGAAATCTGGCCGCCGCCGTCGTAAATCATCCAGGGTTCGAGTCCTCCATCTCGTGTCGTGTAGGGGTCGTCATGGTCGCTAAAGTCGTTCTCCCAAGATCGTGTCATGTGTCAAACGCGTCGTTCTGAACTGACAGAAAGGAAACGAAAAGGAAAGAGCAGTAAAAGAAAACAAAAGTGCAATCGCTTCGTCTCGGTGACCAAATGTCGTCGTGGTAATGTCGGTGGCCGTGTGTGGATAGGCCGCCTGCGCCCGTCGGCCACGGCCACCGCCGCGGCCTTCCGTTCCTTCATTTCGCCTCGTTCTTTCCCTTTGGATCGACAGAGTGGCTAGCCGCCGACTGTCGTCCACAAGGGCGGTTCCTGGCCGTTTTACCCTCCCGCCCCCAGGGGTGATGGCAGGGAGGTTGCACCCTGTGCCGGTCAGACAAGCAGCTGTGCCACCACACTCACGAGCGCCAAGAACAGCCATCGCGTGCTCGAACGGGGCGCTCCATTGTCCTTCCGGGGGGTGCCCGTCTCTCTTGGGTCGCCACCGCCGTTTGTGCCGGTTGATGTCGAGGCCGCATTATCGCTGCAGCGGGCATTAGCAAACCGAATTTCCGAATCGGGAGAAAGCATAAGGATTGACAAGAGAGGCCGCCCCCGGCCCCCTGGAGCTGGGGGCCAGGGGCTGGGCCGGCCCATGAACAGGGCCATGGAAGTATAAACAGAAGAAATATCAGAGAGTTTTTGCAAGACTGGCTAACGCCCATTACAGTGGAGATAAAGTATAAACAGAAATGAGAAAGAAAAGTAACAAGGAACCAAATTAGGGGGCTACGCCGGTGGAACTCCCCACAACCGACCGCCAGAGAAATGAAACCACACCCCAAGACTTCCCCATTCGTGTCTTTGTCTAGTCTTACCTCGATGATCCGGATGCCGGCTTGACGCTCTGGTAGTTGCGGAATACGTCCTTGGGGTCCCACTTGGCCTTGATCTGCTGAAGGGCCGGATAGTTGGAGCCCCAGTACTGCGGCTGCGCATTGGCGCCCAGCCCCGGGTCGACATATCCGGCATAGAGCGTGGCGACGTCAGACTGTGAGGGGATGGACTTGACGATGCGGTCGTGGAAGCCGGTGAGGAAGCTGCGGGTGGTACTCGAGACCTTGGGCAGGCCGACGGCGTAGCTCTGGTAGAACATGGTCTTGTCGCGGTGGGCGTAGGCGGTCGCGTTCATGGCCACGTCGTTGATGGCGCCGCCCTCGAGGTCGAAGATGATGGCCCACACGAGCGTGCCCGAGCTCGTGTCGGCAATGTAGTTGAACATGGACTTGATGGCGTCCTCGGATAGCAGGTCCTCCTGGCGGAAGCCCAGCGACTTGGAGTAGAAGGGAGCGGCCAGGTTGGAGATATAGAGGGCCTCAGACTCGGCGTTATGCGTGAGCGTGCCAAGCCAGTCGCGCGCCTGCAGCGTGCTGTTGCGCGTCGACGGCAGCTTGGACGCGATGCCCGTGGCGTCGAACTCGGACCGGGACCCGAAGAAGGTGCCCTGGATGATGCAGCCGAGCGGCGTGATGATGATCTGGCTGCCGAACCGCCGGTCGAGCTTGGGGTCGCCGATGAGGTCCTGCCAGGCCTTGTAGGTGCGCCACTGGTCGCGCATCGACGTGAAGGTGAACGAGTACATGTACTGCACCGTCTCGCCGAAGGACGCGTGCGTCTTCATGACGAACTCGGTCACCACGCCGAAGCTGCCGCCGGCGCCCTTGATGGCGAAGAAGAGGTCCGAGTTCTGCGTCTCGCTGGCCCGCTGGATCTTGCCGTCTGCCGTCACCACCTCGACCTCGAGCACGTGGTCAAGGCTCGATCCCCACATGCGAGACATGGCGCCAAGTCCTCCCTGTCCGTGAAACAGGCGAGCAAATTCTCAAGTCAACAGGCTGGGCAACAGACGGATTCGGAAGAAGAAAGAGGGATGACATACGATGGTTGCGTGCCCGCCGATGCCAACGCCAGGGCACACGCCATGCGCCATGGCCCTGCCGCCGTTCTTGTAGAGCAGCTCCGAGACCTTGCCGAGTTTATGGCCGGCTCCGATGGTAGCTTTCCATGACGACTTGTCCATCTCGAACTTTTGGAAGTTGGTCATATCAATGGCCACCACATCCGTGGCACCTGGTCCACCGAGGCCTGAGAAGAATGGCAAATGCGTGTTAGTTTCCGTGTGCACTTTCCACTCCCAGCTGCGTAGGTCTGCCCACCATAGTTCCTATAGACGGCAATGTCATGTTAGCATCACCATTAGCTTACTACACGTACTGCTCAAGATACCCGACATACCCGTACGAGTGCCCTCCTGACTTTGCCTGCACCTTTTTGTTGTCTGCGGCGGCGCACTTGACGACGCCGGCCACCTGCTCGGTCGTTCGTGGCCTGACGACGGCGACGGGGTTGACGGCTGCGGAGCTATCGAGGTTGTACGGCTTCACCCAGGCGACCTGGTACAGTGGATCACCGTTAAAAGCCGGATACCCAACGCATCCGGTCTGGCCTGCGCAGACCTGGTTGAGGCAGCTCTGCAGCGAGGAAGGATTGTTGCCCATTTTAGGTTTAGGGACTGCCCGGAGAGGCAGGAAATGGAAAGAGAGCAGATAGGGTAAAGGAGAAAAAAACATGCAACTAAAAAGCAAACTGGTTGGTTATGGTTGGGGATCGCCGCCGAGAAGTGTTGCGGCGAGGCAAGCAAGCGAGGGACTCGGGTGGAGGTTGAGGTTGCCCTGAGATCAGGTATCGCCACCTGATGACAAAAAAGCACAAGAAAGATACCAATGCACAAACAGATTCGCAGCAGAGGCCACGGGGGACGGGGAAAACAGAGAAAGGGGAAACAAGACAAGTGACATGGAATCGAGGTGCACAATCACGGCATTCAAGTACGTATTGTAGGACGGGCCCAGTGGGAATTTGGCGCACACCGCAACAACCCTGTCAGCCTGCCGTCGCCGTGCGTTTTTTTCCTGGGCACCAACCTCGCCTTTGCAACACGACGTAGCAGCAAGCAGGCAAACTTGCTCCTGCCTGCGACCGCTTCTGTGTACCCTCCTCTGCTCAGCAGCGACGCTGCCCACCCCCCATGCAGCATGGAGCAAGTGACAGGCAGGCGTATGCATGCACTCCTGCTAGGCGAAAAAGCTGCAGAGCTGCGCCGGTTTGGCCACGAACCGAGCCCAGCCCGGTCGTCGAAAGGCCAAGACAAGGAAGCTCGACCCAGCCCAACTCCGTTGGGGTCCGGGTAGGTGGACTGGCGTAGTGTCATGGTGCCGGGGACTACGTGGACCAGGGGAGGCCCAGAACGGGACCTCGTGCTGGCACCGGGCTTGCTGGCGGGACGGAGAGGAGGAGGATGGGTGAGGATCTGACTACCGGTTGAACGGCATGGCTTGTTTTTTTCCCCTTCTCACGACGCGTCCCACACTGCCGATTTTTGCGGGCCCCATCAGGAGGAGCAGGTCACTATGAGTGGAGAGCAAGATACACGAGGTAAAATAAAATAAAACATCCCATAGCAGGTGGGGTGGCGGCGCTTGCGAGTTCATGCTAATCTGGGCACAGGAGAAAGACGAAAAATCGATTCCGACTATCGAGCCAGGGTACAATTGTCATGCAGGGTAGGGCCCCAAAATCGCGCGGGGCGTAATCAATCCACACTCGGCATGACGATGGCAAGGGAGAAAAGAGAAAAAGAAAAAAAAAAAGCACAGACGGCATCAATTCAATGATGGAACCCAAGGATTCCCCAGTCCGAGGCACGGCGGCTTGGGAGGCCGCAGTCGGCAGTAATTCGTTTCGTTTCTCGCCTGCCATGGAACCTCACGTCATGCAAAGCAGGCCGCGCGGAAACAGATTGATGCAGAACAGACCGGGTGAATAAACGATGTGGTATCATTCGCACCATGGATGATGGATGGGAGATGCGCTGTCCGTCCGGCCCACCCGTTGTCTTTTTGTCGCCAGCCTTCCATGCCAGCCAGCCCCAGCCTCCGATCAGGAACATGGCACGAGCATGGATTAGGCCTTGATTTTTGGCCGCCGGCGTGGAAATCTCGGGAAAGAGGCTGGAGCAACGTGAAAAATTGCATTGATGCCCAGGGCAGCAAGATGATGAAAGGGGACAGACGGACAACAACACGAAGGATCACTAGAGAGGGACCTCATTAGCGCAAAGAACAGCAAAAAGAAGCCAAATGGAAACAAGCGAACAAACATCCCAGTCCGGCGAGGTGGTAGCTCGATCCACGATCAAGGCCATCCAGAAGTAGCAACAGCCCAGCTTTTCCCCGAACCAATTGGCGAATCGACGCCGTTTGCCCTGCACCCTTTTTTGCCATTTGCCACGACCCCAAAAGCGTCCAGCCGAAAGCCGCCTGCCTTCTCGAATGTGGCTTGGGGAGGGTCTCCATACAGTCGCCAAACACACAGTGACACCTTCCCATTCTTGCTGTTGCGCTGTTTCTACATCCCATCTTTTTGGGCGGGCGTCCCACCATCACCCGTTTTGGGACGGTTGGTAAACGTGGAACCAATCGGCAGCCTCTGCCCCCCGCGCCAATGGGCCTCAACCAAACTTGGGCTAGGTATCCATGGATGGCCACGCTGGCAGCCGAGTAGAAGTGACTGACACAACACGCGCACACACCGACATGCGAGCTCTCTCCCTTGGGCTGATACCAAGGTGATCTTCTGTGTCCTGATGTCAACACTAAGGAGCAGCCCAGCCCGTCACGCACCCCCCTCTCCCCTCCCCTCTAAAGTCCCACAAGTTCCCGCGGTGTCTCAGGTCTCCCAAGGCGGCCCAACGGTCTTGGTCGGGATTGGAGCCGCACACCGAAACAGTCAGGCGGTCGACCCTTGGCTGCAAACGTCCAACAGCGAAAGCACTGGCTGAGAGCTGCGCGCGAGGGGGTGTCATCGCATTAAAGACCTGCTGTGTATCTGTCTAGGTATCCGTCTCGTCCAGGCGTTGTGCGCGTGCGTGTACGTGTTGGGTCATCTTAGCGATCTTCGGCTTATTTGTGGGTTGGGCCTCGCGACGGGGCGGTGACGTCAATGTAACCGGCTGACCGTGTCTTTCTCTGCCGCCTCACTACGCGCCGCGTCTGACGACCTCCGCATTGAGCATGTCCTTGGACTGAGTTAATCTCGCCGAACGATAACCAGAACCGATGCCTATATTGTCAACTCTAAGCTTATGCATCTACCGGAAGGGCCTGATTTGATAGTCGCTCATTACCGACCAAAAAAAACTCGGGAAAATAATACAGGAAAAGAACATGACACATGGTTGATTTAAGTAGATGTGCCAAACAGCCCGGGTTGGCGAACATCCAGCTCTCATTCGCCGATCACTATCGCTTCTGACACCTTCTGCAGCGTCACAAAGTCCATGTATATGTCGACTCTATGACTTCTGTTTGAGGATGTGTCTGAAGCCACGGATTCCCCGTCCTCGGAAATGGCTTCGTGAAACCCCATCTTATCCTTCGCCCTGGCATCTTGGGGCAACCGCGATGTCAGCTCGGCAACGTCGGCGCGTCCGATAATGGTGTGAACGTCCATATTCGCGACCACCCGCTTGCCCCCTTTTGTGTGCTGAGCACCAGACGGCTGCGAGATTCTGTGGGTAGTAGTGCTGGCTACGACGGCTGCGTCGCAGTTCCAGAACCTCAGGATCACGTCTCCCACTTGAGCCTCCCCAGGCACCATCCCTATGCATAAGTCGCTTCCTAGGAAGCGCCGTGGGAGGCGGCTGGATACTTGCAGCGAGGCTGCACGACGCTGTAGGGACGCCCGTCCCACACTTGCAGCACTGGCAAGCTCCTTTCCACTAATGGGCTGCGTCGGGGGCGAAAGGGCACAAGTGAGGTCGTGCTCAAAGGCCTTCACCCTTGCGACATCCGCGTCGGTGTACATCTCGATGATCTTGATGGAGAACTGCTCCTCCATCTTTCTCAACTCTCCCAGATCGCCATGGTCGGTATAGTAGCGAGACCAGCTCTGAAGCCACTGGGAGTGCTTCAAGTGCGAACCGGTATATTCGTCGTAGGAAGGGCCCAGATGTAGAATCCTTCCCGCGATATAGCCTTTGGTCATAACACCGTGCCCGGGCCTTATCTTGATCTCAGATCTCGATGCCATTTCTTCTTGGACTTTGCCCGCGAATGCTTGCTGCAGTATCCCGGCAAATCGAACAACCTTGGCCTCTCGTTCATCCCGCGTCTCAAATGGATGTTCGCAGAAGCCCTTTATCGGCGTGGCTGTCTCTAGAAAAAACTTGACGGCTTCGCACCAGATGTCGAAAAAGGACCGCTCATAGTCAATGGAGAGCCTGCCGTCACTTGGCTCTGGGGTTGGGTTCCTACCGCCGCCCTTGCGCCGGCTACCACCCCTGCGCCTACTGTTACTCTTGCGCTTCGCATCTTTCTTTTCGGCTGCCACGCCGTTGGACCCTCCCGCGACAGCCCATGCATCGTTGGCCAAACCCACGAGGGCGAACAGTTTGTCCCGCAGCTCGTGGCACCCGGATTCCCGGAACCTCTCGACTAGCGCCTCGAGTCTCATCGCGTCGCTGAAACGGCCCGCCCTCGCCTCGACCAGCCTCTGGATCCAGTCCTTGTCTGTGCCGGCGGGCTGGGCCGCGTGGTGCGTCAGGCGGGGTGCGCTCGCCAGTTGGACCTGGTCGCAAGCGTACGGGCCTTGCATAAAGACCACCCGGGGCGCCAGGCACACTTCCTGCACGATCCAGATGCGCTGCCAGTACGGGTTTAGCGGGTCGATCTTGCTATTGGCCGGCAGCTGGTAGAGCTCCATGTCGTGGATCGAGCGAAGGTCTTCCATGGCACCTGGGGCGGTGCCGCGGGGGATGGGGTCAAAGCCCGGCAATAATCTCGTCTCATTCCTCCTGGCGTCTTCAACGAAGCTGAAGATATCCCGAAAGGAGCAGTAGCCGCTAGTGTCGCCGTACCACTCGGCGACTCCTAGCCAGCAGACGACCAGACGGGTGCGTTGGTAGATGAAGCTCATGAGAGCGACTTGGGCGGCGCGCTCGGCGTTATCAATCTGGTTAATGCAGACCTGGTCGATCCACAGGGGAAGAGGGGGGCCGCCGCGCGGGCGAAGATGGAGCAGTGCGAGGGCCAGGTTGTGGCCGATGGGGAATCGGGCCCCAAGAGGCCTCTCACCCGGAGTAGGAGCCTTCTCTCCTGGAGACTCCCCACCACCGCTAGTGTTTCTCAGGCGCAGAAAGGGGGTCTCTGAACCCCGAAGGCTGGCGGGCAACGGGACCATGGCGTGGGATACGTCGCGGTCTTGCCATGTGTACGAAAGTGCTACGTAGGCTGGCGTGGCCGAAAATGGCACCGACGAAAGGGTGCCAACTAGTTCCGAGTCGAACTCATTCGAGGCCTCCAGATGGAGAATCCGGAGGCCATCGCTGCGAGGGAGAGGCTGATACTGGAAGTTTTCGTCCATGAGTTCGTCTTGATGATTGCCAGTGGCACGTACAGATTTTGCTGGATATCTGATGAGGAAAAGTAGAGGGGCGCGTTTGGGAACCCCGCAGATCGTGGGCAGAGCCTTGATGCCTCATCTCGGCGCTGTTTCTATTGGTCGGCGTGATCCCGCCTCTATTTCTACACAACTGCCCGTGTTGAAGGCCTACCTCATCATCCTGGAGAATGTATAAAAAACGAACGTGCCTTGATGTCAACTTTGGACTTTGGTGTCGTTGTTCTTCTACTTTCCCGAACGGATTCCCCCTCCAGTCTCTTTTCTGCCGCAGCCATAACTTGCGGCACGGTGTTAGCTACAATTTCCCTCTCCCGTGCCCTCGATAGCAGCATGATGCCGTTCAGCGATGGCTATCGTGATAATAAGATGAGGTCTGTACCGCTGTACTGTTGCATACCTACGATTGGCGCTTTATGCCCAAGCGAATCTTGTAAGCATAAAGTCTAACGAAGCCAAGCTCTTAGAATTCGCCTTCTTGGTGGTTATGATAAGGTCCCCTTACATGTGGTTAACATTCTTGTCAAGCATCGAGAATGAATGGTTGCAATCGGTTAATACTGTTGTTCAAGGCTGGTCAAATCTATCCCGGAGGCCGCGTCTCTCGTAAAGCCCCATGGCGGCCTCGTCGAGCCAGGCGATGATGTCTCCACTCAAGAACTCGTTGTCGCAATTCTGGACGGCGAGGTAGAAATCCCTCTTCGACTCGGCATATTCGAAGACCAAGACCCATTCCGGGGCCAGGCGGCGCATCTCGCCAAGAAAGCAGCTGCATAGCTTGGTCAACTCGTACTCTCTCAGATGATCCCAGTACAAGCTATCGGGCTCTCCGTCGGCACCACGTTGGTATATGGCTTGGTCAGGGGCATCTCCTCTCGGTCGGGCTTCCGGGAAAGACGGATAGGCGCACGCCTTCCACAGGGGTGCTGCCGACACGCATTCCCAGTCTACCACGCCTGTGAGGCCGCCGTCTTGGTCGACAAGGATATTGTGCTGAGACAGGTCGTCGTGGGGCAGCACGGAGAACTCGGAGTTTAAGCCCCAGCACGGGAAGAAGTTGCGGATGGACGACTTGAGCCTGGCGGTGGGTGATACCCAGGAGGGAATATATTTGGCAAAATATAAAAAAAAACATACAACACCGAGGATTCCCCAGTGGTCACCCACCTGAGTACTAGTTCGGCCCTCACTGGTTTGACTAGGGGAGAGCGGACGGGATCCCGTATATTCCAGTGGGTATGGTCGTATGTATTGTTCTCGACATGAAACTGTGCAGATAATACCAAAAGTTGGGCAAAAAATGAAGCAAACAAAGAAGGTGGTCGAAGCCCGGTACCTACCTCTACCTACCTAGGTACAGTTTTATCCCATCGCCACAGCAGCATTTTCACATTGCAGCCTACCTATCCAACACAGACACATCAACACCATCTCGACAACACCTATCGTCAAGCAGTGCACAATGGCCATCTTTGACTTTCAATCCTTGCCCACGGAACTCGGCGAGCGGATCATCCACTTCGCTATCAGGGCGAGGTCGCTCAACCGTGCCCTCAGATTGAGGCTCGTGAGCAGTAAGTCATGACCGCTCCTCATGAATGGCTTTCATATTGATTTGGTCTTAGGGCAGCTGCGGGAGCTGGTAGATCAAGACATGTTTCGCACGCGCATGCTGGACGAGCACCTCCAGAACGCCTTGAGAAAC